AATTCAAGATTTCTTAATGATCACCTTTTGTATCAAGGAAATAGAGTTAGATGACTCATTTTGGAAATATTTATTGTTAAAAAAAACAGGGATTTTGCCTGAATTCATAGTGGAATGTTTAGGAAATGCCTAGTAGTATTTATGGGCCATAACATGTCTGTGTTTCCAGCTTTAATGATTAAGAACCTAGGCACTCCGATATACTAGGCAGCAGCATACTGGAGATTAATTTCTTCTACATCATCAACAAAGGCCTGATTTTCTCACAACCAACAATACAGGAATTCAGGAAAGGTAAGAACACTGGAGAACAATTTTGACTATAATACAGTGAAAGATGAATGGACATCATTTGACCCCAAAATCACATTTTTAGAATGTCCAAAACATGTACAGATATAACTTTTCCCCTTGCAATTACTAATAGTAATTCTATAAACATTCTTATAAAAATATTTCCATGACCAGAATATCAATAGCTGTCATAACTCATGAATATTTATCTAGTTATAATCGTCTAGATAATAGTCCTAATATCTAGATAATACTTAACTGATTAGTACTAACTTACTATTAGTAACAGCAAAAATTACCAAAGTTCATCCAAGACAAAATAGATAGCCTAAGAAGTCTTATTATATCTGTTAAAGTTATTGAATTTGTAGTTTAAAAGCTTCCAACAAAAAAAGCCATCTAAGACATAATGGCTTCTGAGGTGATTTATGCCAATTAAGAAACAATACAAATTCTCCCAAACTCTACCAGAAAATTCAAGAGAAGGGAACACAATCCAACTCACTCTATGAGACCAGCATAACCCTAATAACAAATCCAGAAAAAGACATTACAAGAAGACATCAAGATCCTCAAGGATAAAAAAACTCAGAATTCCTCAACGAAGCGTCAGGACACCAAACGCAATAATAACAAAAAAAGATAATACATTATGACCAAATGGAGTTTATTCCACAAATGTAACATTCAAAACATTCAACAATGTCAAATGAGCGAGTTCAAAACTTAGGTTCAGGCAAAAAAACAAACAAATAAACAAAAAACCACCTGCACATGATTTATAATAGCTTTATTCATAACTGCCAAAAATTGGAAGCAAGCAAGATATCCTTCAATAAGTAAATTAATACACAAACAATGGCTTCACCACACAATGGAATATTATTCAGCAATAAAAACAAATGAGCTATTATGATATAAAAAGACATGAAGAAAAACACTACTAAGTATTACTATATGCATACTACTAAGTGAAAAAAAATCCAATCAAAAAAGGTTATGTGCTGTGTGACTCAAACTATATAACATCCTCGAAAAGGCAAACCAGAGAGACAGTGAAAAGATCAGTGGTCACTAGGGAGTTAAGTGAAAGGGAGGGAGGGAAGTGGGAGGAAATACTAAAGCAAGATATCCATACCAGGAGAAACTGCTGAAGAGGAGGAAAGGGAGTATCTGAGTAGTTTCAATCAATTATTCTGAAACTGCTCTAAAAAATAAAGTCTATTAATTTTTAAAAGTCAATATAATTCATATTATATTGACTTTTAAAAATAATTCATATTATATTGTATGAATTATTATTATCTTAATAGATACAAAAAAAAAAAAAAAAGCAAATGAGCATTGGATAAATTTCAAGCTTCATTCATGAAGAAAAAAAAAAGAAACCTCTCAGCAAACTACAAATAGTAAGGACCTTTGTTAACCTCAGAACAGGTATCTGAAAAAAATTAGAAGTAACTTTATACTTAACAATAAAAAACCAAGTGCTTTCTTCCTAAGATGGGAAATAAGGCAAAAATATTTACTCTTACCACTTTTATTCAATATTATACTGAAGGTCCAATCCAGTGCAACCAGGAAGGGAAAGGAAATAGAAGGCAAACAAGTTGGAAAAGGAAAAAACAGAACTGTCTCTATCAGCAGTTGACATAATGCCCAAATCTGCAAAGGGCTAGGCAGAACATAAAATACACTGCAATATGGCTGATTAACATTAAAAAAATTAATTGTATTTCTACATACAAGCAATAAGAAACCGGAAATTTACTTTTAGAAGCACATTTATAGTAACCACACAATATAATACACTTCACAATAAATGTAACAAAATATTTGCATAATGTCTACACTAACAAATACAAGTCATATGAAAAATAAATTAAAGAACCACCAAGTAAAAGTCCTCCAAAAATTAACTCAAATGGATTTTGACATTATATTTAATTCTCTTAATGCTCTTTCTTGTTTTTTGTGAGTAACAAAAATATCTTGTGATGCTAGGTAAATATTATTATTCACATTTTAAAGAGCAAGCTGAAGTTGCTATGATCTAGCACTCACACTACTGGGGTATATACTCATAGGAAATGAAAACTTATGTTCATATAAAACTCACATGTGAATGTTTCTTGCAGTTCTACTCTTAAGTACCCAAACCTAGAAGCAGCCCAAACGTCTTTCAACGGGTAAATGTACAAACTGTGGTATATCCATAACAAGGAACACTAGTCAATAGTCAACATAAAAAGGAACAAACTACAGATACATGCAATGAATCTCAAAGGCATTACATTGTATGGAAGAAACCAGTTTCAAAAGGTTACAACAGGTTATGATTCTATATGTGCAACATTTTCAAAAACAAAAAATCAAAATGACAGAGAACTAAGTGGTGTTTGCCATAGTTAGGAATGGGGAAAAAAATCGTAACAGAATATTAGCATGAAGGAGTAACTGAGGGAAAGAAAGCAGTTCTGTATGCTGAACTGTGATCCCCTTACATTAATCTTACAGTACATAACCTTTATATTACCTTACAGCACATAACCTTTTTAGATTGATATTTTCACTTATTAGTAGTATGCATTTAGTAATATTTAGCAATGTTTTTCTCCATATCTTTTTGTAGCATAATAGCTCATTTCTTTTAATTGCTGAATAATATTGTTTGGTTAAAATTTCATTGTGTTCAAGTATATAGAACTGCACACCAATTTAAAAAGTCAATTTTACTGTATTTAATTGGAAAGTAAAAAATTTTAAATAGCAAAAAGAACACTAGAAAAAAAATGAGATATTACTATGAACCAACTAGAATGACTAAAATTAGTAACCATACCCAGTGTTGATGTGGAAAAACTGCAACTCTCATACATTCTGGCTGTGATGCAAAATGGTACCATCACTTTTTAACATACATCTACAAGTTTACCTGCCATTCCACTTCAAGATATGTAATCAAGAGAAATTAAAGCATATGTCTATTAAAAGACATTTATGGACGTTCATAATTTATTTCTAATAGCCCCAAACTGTAAACAATCCAAACATCTATTAACAGGTATTCATCTGTTCATAACAAATTATGAAAAAATTATGGCATATCCATACAGTGGAATATTAGCAATGAAAGGGATAAACTTATGGTAAATACCAACACGTGGATGAATCTCAAAATCAATATGCTCAGTGAAAAACCGAGGGTAAAAATAAAACATGCTGTATACTTCCATTTACATAAAATTCTAGAAAATGCAAACTATAGTTTTAGAAATCAGATCAATGGTTGTCTGGGGACAGGAAGCTGAAAGCATCATATTTTTTGCCCTGACAGTTTAAAAAAGCTCATTAGGAAAACAAGTCTAAGATATTAAGTCACCGGAGAAGGCTAGGCAAAACAAATTTGAATGAAAATCGTAAAATACAATTAATGTGTGCGGGAAATAAGTGAAACACAATTTTGAAAAGGTCTTTGTTCTTTTCATTATTACTGTTGTTACTATTTAACTTTCAAACAGGAATACTGAGAGGTGGGAAGACAACTATTTTGCCTGTGATCCCTAAGTCATTAGGCGTCAGAGGGGAGATTTTAATCCAACTTCTTTCACCTCAAACCTGAGATCTTAAGCATCGAGGTGATAGAACACAGAAGAGGTTTTGAAGACTGATATAAGGTGTGATTTCGCCGGAAAGGAACGCTTCCTAACACCCCAGACCACTTGATTCACTACTTGGCACGAATCCTGCACAGAAAGGACACGATTAGAGGCAGGCTTCTATAACTGAGGTCTTAGGACGCAAATTTCCGGGAAAGGGAACAGGGGCCCTTGAATGATTAGAAGAGAACAGAGTGCACCGATCTACTTCTGACAGATTTGGGTTGTGAAGACACTGACCACGGCAGAGCCAAGGTGCAGAGAAAGTCAAACGGTGAGAAAGAGGAAAGCCCTGCCGCTGAAGACACCCCTCTTCAATTACACACCATTCCGCCCTCGTCTCAAGCCAGGCACAGGCTCAGGGAAAGCCACAACCCGCTTCTCAAGCAAAAGACTCGGGCGCTAGAATCCCAGTCTATGTCTCCCAAGGGCCAGAACTAAGCCCTCCGCAGGGGTTCAGGAGCGTGCGCGGTGCTCGCGCCGGCCGCAGGGGCTCAGCTGGGAAGGTGCTGCAGGACAGGGACCGCGAGTTCACAAGGCCTGGGCGCAGCGCACAACCCAGGGTCAGACACCGCGAGGCTACGACACCCTAGGGAAAGAGAGGGCGGGGTGGCCCAACTCGGGATTTACCCTCGGTGATGACACTGAGAGTCCCCCGGCAGTTGACAAGACACTCTCACTTTCCCTCATTCACCGAGCAGGCAAACGCTGGCCTCTCTCTCGTCTCACCTCTCCAGTTCTTGTACTCCGGGATGAAGTAGTACTTGTTTCCGAGGTGGTCTGTGCCCACGTGTTCCTTCACCTCCTTTGACAGCGCTCTCCACAAGGCGCGAAACAAACCCAGAGACCAACCCATGCCTGCCACTAAGATCCGGGCTGGAACCGATGCAGATCTGCGGGGGCGCTGGGAGTGACGCTCCAGCCGCTGACCCCGCCCACCGCGTCCGAAGAGACCAGCCAGCCTCCATCCGTGAGCCCTCCGAGTAACGGCACTCACCATTGGTCAGATGGTATCACAGCTTGGCCAATGGGAAGCTCTGCTATTGCAGCCCCTCCTCCGAACCCTGTCATGGCTGCGTCCAGGGTGCAAGCTGAGGTGAGGAAACGCGATGCTGGGCTTTTTGTCCGCGCGACAAGCGGGTTTGGAAGACCCTCTGCGCTTCCAGAGAACGGAGTCCACACGGAGGTAAAGAAAATCTTACCTTTTCCTCTAACCGGCCAATTAAAATTTGGCTCAGTGGCTGAATCCTAGAGACGAGGTCGGGGGCCATGGACAAAAGATGTACTTGGAGTAATTGGCAGAAGCTCGATGGGGAAGAGCCTTGTGTGCTTGCGTCAAAGTATGAAAATGAGAGTAAAGTCACAGATATTCGGTTTTGACTTCTCCTTGAAGAATGGGTTGAAGTTGAGAGCAAGAGTAGGAGTCAATTTAGGTGAATATTGCCCTTGTCCAGAAAAGAATTGATGGAAACCAGGGGCAGGGAGGAGGCAAAAGGGATGAAGAAAATGAAGAAGTTTGAAAAATGCCCGAGAAATATAAACAGCCATGGAAAATATGTGGATAAGTGAATGATGAAAACGGAACAGTCAATAATGATTCCCAGATATATCCCTTGGGTAGGAAGTTGGATGTTGATGACACCCTCTGAGACAAGACGTTCCAAAGGGGAAGCAAGTTTTACTTTTAGTTTTGCCCACATGATTTTGAGGAACCTGAATATATTCAGTCAGAGTGGAGGACGTAGTTGCGTATTTGAGTTATGTGCTCAAGGGAAATTTAGATTTCTTTAAGATACAGGAAGTCACAAAGAGATAAGATCAGCTTGCCCTCAACCGCAGCCATTAATTGAGAAACTAGACGAGGGGTGATGGGAGATGAAGAAAAAACAAATAGACACACATAGAAAAAGGTTGGCCCAGGTGGGCAGTCTGATAGAGTTTGACTGACCCAGAGTTAGTTAAGCACGTTTATTATGTAGGTTTCATCAAAAGGTTATTTGTGGGAAAATTTCAGCAAAGCAGGTAATTGGAAGGACACAGGACTGGTGAGACATTAGGGTCATCTTGCTTGGGATTTTCTCTCCCTGGGAGCTCGTGCCTGAGCTCACGGTTCCCACTGATAACTGAACTTTTGCACAGAGTTTCCTTTGGCTACAATCACCATACAGCTAGGCCATCTTGACCTGCACTTTTGCACAGGCAGTTCCCAGCACAAACGCAGTCACCAGAGAGTCAGAAAGACCATGATTTAAATCACTGCTCTCCGCAAATGGCAAAAATCTAAAAAACATAAGCATTTAAGGTTAGACAGAAGGTGCTGGGAAGTAGCTCAGTGGAAGAGTACTTGCCTCCTATGAGCAAAGCTTGGGGCTTGATCCCCAGCCCCAGGAGACAAAAAGATTGGACAGAAGAAGAGAATGCAGATGAACTTACAATGAGTAGCCAGTGAGGTAGAGTTAAAACCTCACTGAGGGAACACAGTGTTTTAAGGACGGAGCCATCAAATGTGTCAAATACTGCCTGCCCTCTTTGCACTCAGTACTTCCTTTCATATTACTCAACTTTATCTTTCTTTGTGCAATTTATTCCTACTGAAATTGTATTATATATTTTTTCTACTATATCATTGTCTTCTTAATCCCCCAAAGAACAAAAGACCTGTATTCTAGGCCTCAAAAAGGGTTTGGCCCATGATAGAAGTTTAATAAGTATTTTGTGAGTGACATACACTCAATAAATATGAGGACTTAAAAGCACATGTTGCATTTAACTGAGAGACTAAATACAAATGACCTTGGGAAAAGTAGTTTCAGAGAAATGGTAGGAATAAAAATAAGAGAAAGAAGCAAATTGGTATTGGTAACATTAATGACTTTCTCAAATTTAAATCAATAGGCAATTAATATTGACAAACTGGGTATGATTCATTCTAATATATCAAAGGAAGAACTCAACTATGCATTAGTTATCAATACCTGGGTAACAAAGTATCCCAAACTTAAATAACTGAAAGATTTGTTATCTCACAGGCTAAAGATGTCACGAATCTTAACGTATTTTAACTGGGTTCTCTCTCTGGCTCAGTGTTTCTTACGAGACTATATTCAAAATATTGAATGGGGCTGTAGTCATTTCTCAACTGGACTAGGTAAAGATCTGCCTCCAAGTGCACTAAAGTATCTATTGACAGGATTTGGTTCTTCATTGACTTTGGCCCAGACTTCCTCAATTCCTTGCCACATGGTTCTCTCCATAGAGTAGATCCCAGCATGACAACTGGCTCCTATAAAAGCAAACAAGAAAGCAAGAAGGAATCCAGACTGCTTTTATAATCCAATCTCATAAGTGACATCTCATTACTTTTGTCATATTCTAGTCATCAGAAGTGAGTCACTAGGTCTTGCTCACATTTAAGGAGAGAAAATTACCTAAGGTCGTGAATACCAAGAATTAGAGACTTTGGAAGGTCATTTCTAGGCTTTCTGCCACAACTCAGAAACAGACAAAATAATAATTTATTTTAATAGATAATCCTAGGTGGTCATTTAGCTATTTTCTACAAACAATTCCGTAATGTTTTATGCACTAAAATGTTGTTTAATCTTTACATTTTAGGATTACATGTTTGGTAAATGTTTCAAAATATTGAATGTAATTTTATCTAGATAAGTTTTTTGTTTGTTTGTTTGTTTGTTTTGGTATTGGGGATTGAGCTCAGGGGCACTCAACAACTCAGCCAAATCCCCAGCCACGTTTTGTATTTTATTTAGAGACAGGGTCTCACTGAGTTGCTTAGTGCCTTGCCATTGCTGAGGCTGACTTTGAACTCCAGATCCTCCTTTCTCCCAATCCTCCTGAGCCACTGGAATTATAGGAGTGCACCACTGGGCTCTGCAAATCTTTCTTGTTTGTTTGAGGCACATTTTGGTTAGCTCTAAACATGAATGAAGTTATGTCCCCTGTTGACTTCCTCTCCCTAATCCCATTTAGTGCAGAGATGACCGTAATATTTTTTTTTCAACACAGTCATCTACTGTAATGGGTTATATAACATAGAAATATCCGGAGGTTTTTTATTTCAATGACTGCAAAAATGCAAGCCAAATTTATACCAAAATGTATTTAAAATTTAAATTTTAAAAATGCTGTTTTAGGACAACTTAAGTCAGAATCTCTAGATATGGAACATTGGCATGAACATGCTTTACAACCACCTCAGGTGATTGCAAAATATGTCAATCTCCTCTGATAAAGCAATTTGTTTATACTAAGTTCTGCAATTCTTCTATTATAATCACTGAAGTAAATGTTGTCAAGTGAGTGAACTTGGCTATTCCCTCATCTTTAATTTCAGCAAAAATAGCTTTAGTCTTAAAAAAAAAACAGCATTACTTCTTTTTTCCTATAGTTAAATTTAATAATGTTTAGAGATATTACAATGTCAGAAATAATTTAAATATGTGAGCCACTGAAAAGCTGAGTTTGTCAGTCTTTTAATTCTAAAAAAGTTCTTGATCTAAAAAAAGCAACTAAGTATAAGTCTTTGTCATAATTCTGTGACCTAAACCTCTCATTTCATTGAAAGTACTAAAAGTTCAAAACAGTGAGAAGTCTCTTAACCAGATCACTAGATTAACTTATCTGTAAATGGATTTCATTTCTCTGAAAATATGATTCCCAAATCATAATTTAACCATTTCTGCCCAAAACCCTGTGATGCCATTCACAGCTCTTCTATCAACTGCTTTGTGTACTTATCAAAACTCAGTATTTGTTGCTAATCCCATTAATGTCAGTTTCACTTATTCTTTTTTTAAAATAATTTTTTAGTTGTAGATGGACATGATACCTTTATTTTATTTACATGTTTTTATGTGGTGCTGAACCAACCCAGTGGCTCGTACTTGTGAGGCAAGCGCCCTGCCACTGAGCCACAATCCCAGCCCTAACTACTACTACTACTACTACTACTACTTCTTCTTATTATTATTATTATTATTTCATTTTAGTGTGAAATATTAATGCAAAAAGAGTTCATTTTCTTAAAAAAACTAAATGAACCACTTATGAAATACTCAGTCCAAACAAATGACTTAAAACAAAATGCTATTCAAAAAGGAATGATATCTTACAAATGATGGGAGGCGATAAAACTTTTTCAGAATATTACAATCACCTGAGGTGGTTGCAAAGCATATTCATGCCAAAGTTCCATATCCAGAGATTCTGACTTAAGTTGTCCTAAGACAGCAGAATTTTTTAAAGCTACCTAGATTATTCTAATGTATAGCTAGGATTAGAATCATTGCTTGAGAAAGATTCCACATTCACCTCTTTGCATATGTCTTAGATTTTCACTCCACTAAAATAAATTGAATAAATTTTATCCAAACGTAAAAATCATGGAATATGTATAACATGAGTATATTTTGAAAAAAGAAATATTATACTCAGCACATTAAATCTACTTCAAACAATTGACATATATGCAGGTAGTGCTCTCTTTTGCACAGTAGTGAAAGTCTGTAAAACTGGCTGTGCAGCCTTACCTCTGCAAAATGTTCTTAATCAGTGGGGAAAATTGCAATTTTGTGATCTTTAATTTTTTTTGCCAATATATATACTAAAAATTTTATTACATTTATGGTTACAAATGTGTACGAAAATGAAAATAGTAAAGCTAGTAACTTAGCACATTGTAATGTAAAACAGTGTTAGAAACAGAATCAAAATTATTTGTTAAAGAGAATATTTATTGAGTAGTTACCTTATTAAAAATTATCTTATTAAAAATATATGTATTGAGTTGTTTGAATATTGCTTGGCCTTTTTTTGGATTAATAATTTTGCCTTTTCTCATTTTAAAACTTAACCATTTGAGGTGAGGATCTTTTTCATTTGGATCAGATTCCAGCATTTTATCTTTTACATCTTTATTGTGAAATAGCTCTGAGAGTTCCTTTAATGTGAAGTTTTTTTCTTTTTGTTTTTGTTTCCTACACATCACTTCCTCTGGTTGTTAGGGGCATACAGTGTTCATAATTAACACCCTTTAGAAATATTTACAACTTTATTGAGGTACAATTGACATACACTTGTACAAATGAATATAAATTATTGTGTACAATGTGAGTTTTGACATGTATATACTTTTGAAATCATCACCATAGTCAAGAGAATAAACATGCTGTGCACAATGACACACACCTGTAATCCCACTGACTCAGAAGGCTGAGTCAGGAGGGTCACAAATATGAGACCAGCCTCAGCAACTTAAAAAATAAAAAGGTCTGGGGTTGTAGTTCAGTGGTAGAGCCCCCTTGGGTTCAATCCCCACTACTGTGGGGGGGAGAGACAGACAAAACTCCTTAAGCCTAAAAATTTTGTTGTGATGTTTTGTTAATTCCTCCCTACTTCCTCATCTCCATCCTCTTCCTACTTAAAAAATCACTGATCTGTAGATTAATTTGGATATTCAGAATGTTGTATAAATGGAACATTTTTTTGGCTGGCCTCTTTCACTTATCATAATTACTTTGAAATTTTTCCATGTGTTGCATTTATCAATTACTTTTTATAGCATAATTTGTTTTCTCCATTTGCTTGTTGATGGACACTAGAATTGTTTTCAGGTTTTGACTATTACATTTCAAACTGATATAAAAATTCTTGTACCAGTCTTTGTGTGGACATACACTTTCATTTTTCATGGGCTAATACTGGTAGTAAAATAAGAATATTTTAACACTTTTTAAGAAACTTAAAAAGTTTTCCAAAAACAGTTTGTATTCTCACTGGCAGGCATGAGAGTACTCGTTGCTCTACATCTTTACCCCCGCCCCTGCCTTCTTAGGGGGTTGTTTGAACATTATTTAGTATTGCATTTTAATTTATCTTGTGATTTTTTACTATATTTCTTCATTTATATGTAAAGTTTTGTGGGTGCTTTAGGAATTATAAAATACATACTTTTCATTGTCTACTTATCCTTTCACTGCTTTCTTTGGCATATAGAAACTTTGTTACCCTTTATCTGTCACCACTGTCTGTGGTGTTATATATCACATTTACAGATATAATAAACCACATCAGACAATGTTATAATTTTTGTTTTAACCATCAAATATTGTAAGAAAAACATCAGTCTATTAACCTAGATATTTAACATTTCTGTTGTTCCTTCATTGCTAATGTCCCAAGTTTCCTTCTTATACCGTTTCTTTTCTATCTGAAGATTGTAGCTGATCATTTTTTTAGAGTAGATTTAGTAGCTTCATGGTTTCTGAAAAGAAATCTGCAGTCATTCAAATCACTTTTTTTCTCTAGAAAATTTGTCATTTTTATCTGATTGCTTTAAAGAGCTTGTCTTTAGCTTTTATAAGTCTGATTATAATGTGTCTGGGTATCGATTTCTTTGGGTTTATCATAAGATTTATTGTGTTTTTTAAATTTGTAGATTTTTCTCTGGCAAGTTGTATATTTTCAAACATTTTGTTTCTTTTTTTCAGTATATTTTCTCCTATTTTTGGAATTCCAGTGACATAAACATGAGTCCTTCTAAATTGTTTCATTGGTTCCTGAGGTTCTGTTCTTCCCCACCCTCCCACTATTTTCCCCCCTGTGTTGTTAGGGGTGGTATAATTTCAGTTCATCTATCTTCACTGACTCTTTCCTCTGTCAGCTTCATTTACTATTGAGTCCATTAAATTGAAATAATTTTATATTGAAAAGTTTTAAGATTTCCATTTGGTTCTTGTATATTATATATTTGCTGAAACTTTTTATTTTAACTTTTGCTTCAACTGTGTTTACAATCTGTCAACTGCATGCATTTTGTTGTGACTGACTTAAAGAAGATAATTTCCCAAGATCATATCATCTCCTTTGTCTTCTATTGTCTTTTCCCATGCAAGTTTAAGTTTTCATTGTGCTTCATGTACAATATTGCATTGCATCCTGAACATTTTGAATATTGTTATGAGATTCTGAGTCTTGTTTCAATCTTATGATGAATGTTGATATTTTTGTTTTAACAGGCAACTAGCAAGATGAAATTCAGTGTCAGTTCAGTTTTCAAAGCCTTTTCAGATCTGTGTGCCACTCAGTGGTCAGTCTGTGACCTGAATGCTAGTTAGTTGAGGTTCCAAAATCTTTCATATGCTATTCAGTGTTAAATCCATGCATGTTCCATTTAGGGATGAGTCCAGGAGGTAACTGACAGTTTTATTTCCTGGGTTCCTTCCTCTCTGTGGTTTTGCTGATTGATATTTTCCACCACTCTGGAACTGTCTTGTTTTGTCTTCCAGCTGGAAACTTTGGACTATACCACATAACTTCTGCTCTATGGTCCAAGGTTTGGCTCAAGTGAAAAGACAGGTACAAAGCAATAGGTTTTGGTCCCACCCTCTTGGGATCAAACCTCTGATAAACAGGGAAAATTGACTTTATTTTAAAAAGCTTAATTGTTGAATTTAACACATTTGTTTTGTTTTTCTTCTATAAGAAACGCTTAGAGAATTTTTTTTAAATCCTGTAATTTAAGCTTTTATTCACTAGATGTCGTCAGTAAAGTCTTAAATTTTCAGAATTTTTTTGTTCATAAAAAGTTGTTTCATTCTTTTTTTAAAAAAAACTTTAAATAAAGTAAACTGGTTAAAGTTTGGGATGATGATTCAAGTGAAAAAACTTACCTGTAATTATTGATACTTTAAAATTTTATACAGAGTCTTAGATCTCTAATATAAGTGTGTGATATAAGTGTGTGATAGATTTAAGCATTAGCTATGATTTTTGTATTCTATATCACCTTGGTGAAATAAGGAATTTGTTTATGTTTAATTACTTTCTTATTGTTAATTTTCATCTTTCTTTTTTCTCCTTCTAATATTTAAAGGGTTTTGGGACTGGAGTTAAACAAAGACAGAGATATTGAGAGAATCCATGGAAGTGGAGTTAACACCCTTGACATTGAACCTGTTGAAGGGAGATAGTAAGTTGATTATATGTACATTATCACTTTTCTAAATAAGATGCAGTAAAATCTTGCTTTTGCAGATTAATATGGAGAAGCTTCCTAAAAATAAGTAAAAATTCTAAATTGTAACATTTTTTTCAATGGCATTATTAAATTTCAAATAAATACAGGTAAAGTGTTACCAAATAGACATTTCCAAGTTATCTTAAATCAACAACCATTGAACTTCTTTGGATTCAGAGTGGCTTTTAAGTGCTGGAATGTGTCTTTAGATATTGTTTTAAAACATAGTAAAACTGTATTTTGGAGAATTAAGTTTGAACAAACAGGATGTTTGAGTTTCTCCTGGCTTTATCACTTATAATCTTTGTGACTTTGAGCAGTTTACCTAAACTTTCTAATTCTCATTTGCCTTAGCTATGCAATGGAAACAATAATACTTATCTAACAAGTTTGTTGTGTGGATCAATTGAGGTAATATATAATCAAAAGCAGTATCACATATACTTTTATTCTTTTCAAAACATCACCATATAATAGCTGAAGTCCTTTGAAAAATCCAAATCTGAACATATTCTCCTGACAACTTACCATGACACAATCTTTCTCTTATACGAAAATTCAGGAGTTGGGAGTATAGGTCATTGGTAGAAACCTAAAATTCAATCTCCAGCACCAAAAAAGAAGGAAAAAAAAAAAGAGGCTAAAATACTTCCTATGGTATATAATTAGACCATATATAAAAGTAAATAAAAATAGTTTGTTATGTTTAATATTTGCCCCATAATTTTTATTGTATAATGAAGTATTATTATTTATATTAAAATAATTCGATAGGTTTCATAAACTTCTGTTTTTTTCTTCCAGCTTCTGCCATGGTTTCACCTCATAGTACATGAGAAACACATGCAAGGAACAAGATTCTCACTTTTACATGTGGTTAAATTTAAAACATAATCAGCAATAATTGTTTTCTTTTTCCTGGTTCTTTCAGGCTCACTATAACACTTCCTATTCAAGGACAGCTATGTGACACTAACTTATAAAATGTATACAGACATGGGAAGCAAGGGATAGCTGATTTCTTTTGGTTTTGGGTTCTAGTGGAAAGAATAAATATTCATTACTATTACTCCAGCCAGCCATTTGGCATCATGATTATTTGTATGACCTATGAAGTATATGAAGCCAGTTGGCAGTGGGAAATATGAGAAATTCTAGATTATATGTACATGAAATATGGTTGGGAAATACAGGCTAAGGAATCTTTTCATAGAACTTAGAGAAAAGTTTGAAGACTTGCTACAGTGTTGTTCCCCTTTATTATATAATAAAAATCTATAGCTGTTTGATTCATTGTTTATTGAGATTTGCATTTTGTATTAAATACTTTTGGTAGCAAAAGATAAATAAAAAGGATTTTTTTCTGAAATATTTTTTAGTTGTTGATGTACCTTTATTTTTTATTTATTTATATGTGGTGCTGAGGATCGAACTCAGTGCCTCACACATGCCAGGCAAGTGCTGTGCCACTGAGCCACAGCCCTATCCCGGAAAAGGATTTTTCTTAAGACAATGAATGTATATATAACTTGTCCAATATCTGTTAATATTTATCATCCACTATGAGCACTTCAGGGATAATCACTGAAAACCATAAAATACCAATAAATATTTTAAGGTGTTATTTAAAAAGACTATCCAAAAATTACATTTTGTTGGGTGCAGTGGCACACACCTGTAATCCCAGTGGCTCAGGAGGCTGAGACAGGAGGATCACAAGTTTAAAGCCAGCCTTAGCAATTCGAGGCACTTAGCACTCAGTGAGACCCTGTCTCTAAATAAAATACAAAATAGGACTGGGGATGTGGCTCAGTAGTGGAGTGCCCCTGAATTCAATCCCTGGTACCCCCCCCCCCCCAAAAAAA